AGCCCCAAACAGTTTTAAGACCTTAGCCGCACATAGGAAGCTGACTCATACAGTGTCTATCTAGTTCAGTATTGTCTACACTAATTGGCAGCGACCTGCCGAGATTTTAGACAGGAGCCTTTTATAGCCCTGCCTGGAGATATCAGTGACGGAACCTGCGACCTCCCACAGGCAAAAAAACATACTGTGCCAAGAGTATGCCTCTAATCTGATAGTTGTCCTTAAAATAGGAAATAGGAAGTTGCTCTATACTGGGTCCAACTGCTGATCCAGTCTAAGCTCAGTACTGTTTGCACTATCTGGCAAGTGGCTCTCCAGAATTTCAGACAGGTCCAGACGATCTGGATGGAGATGCTGTTGACTGAAGCTGGGACCATCTGCCTGCAAACCTCTACCACTGAGCTACACCTCTTTACCCATAAGATTTTCACAATGAGAAAACTGGACCAATCCAAATCGAACCCAGACAGTTGTGAGCAGTAGATTACTCCTAAGACTTGTCTGCTATACAGTGGTACCTTGGGTTAAGAACTTAATTCGTTCTGGAGGTCCGTTCTTAACCTGAAACTGTTCTTAACCTGAAGACCACTTTAGCTATTGGGGCCTCCTGCTGCCGCTGCACGATTTCTATTCTCATCCTGAAGCAAAGTTCTTAACCCGAGGTACTATTTCTGGGTTAGCGGAGTACCTGAAGCATCTGTAACCCAAGGTATCACTGTACTGAAAAGCTGCTGGTTCAATAATTCACTGGGTGGCCTTGGGCAAACCACTTTCTCTTGCCTAGAATACGGAGATGTTAAAGACCAGCTCTGCTCTGTCACTAAGGTTAATCAAAAATATTGCCAGTCAAATGCTGCTGATTAAATGGACAATAACTACAAACATGTCGTCCTGCAGCTTCCATTACGCCAACAAGTTCCAGGCTCTTGATTTTAAGTCCACATTGCTCGGGCCTCCCTTCCTCAGGACATCTGAGGACATGTTGTCTTTGGGAAGCTAATCATCACCACACTTTGCTCCAAGGCTGTCAATTAATCCTTTGATTCTAGGATCAATTATCACATGTTTGTTATCCACAGACTTTTTGCAATAAAGGAGGTATCTAATATACAGCTACAATGGAGTCAGGATAAAGAGCACTTATCCTGGACTCAGCAGTTGTGCTCTGGCAGACAAAACCGCTGCATAAAGTAGGAAGAGAATTCCCTTCCATCTTTTCTTAGGAGGTAATGGTCCATTGATCCATTTACCTCTCAGACATGTCTACTGGCTCAGCAAGTGTTCGGATTGGGAGCCATAAAAGTACTGATGTGGAACAGTATGTCCCTTTCAGAAACGGAGCCCATAACTCCATATATGGAGTCAATAATTAGTGAAGGGTGGAGTCCCTTACAGCATGACCTTTGTCCTGGATATTTCCTGCTCCCTCCACTGTTTTCATGATGTTCAGCTTTTATTTGGCTCACTGTGGTGGAGGGATAGGAAGAAGCACCAGCAGAATCTCAGAACCCTCCCATTTTGAGGGGTTTTAAGGTTCTACAAGTCTCGTAGAACCTTAAAAACTAGCAAACTGATTGTGGCAGGTGCTTTTGTGGGCTAGAGCAGGGCTGGTGGGTTCTGTGTCTCTCCAGATGTTTAACTCCACCTTCCACCAGCCTCAGCCAACATGGCCAGTTGCTCAGCTGGAAGGCCACATGTTCCCCATCGTTGCACCACAACCCACCTCATCACAAAGCCACAATAAGAACGTAAGAGCCTTTTGGATCGGGCCAAAGCCCATCTAGTCCATCATCCTGTTCTAACAGCGGCCAACGAGATGTGGGGAGCCCACAAGAATCATGGAATCAGAGGACTGTAGAGTTGGAAGGGACCCCAAGGGTTATCTAGTCCAACCCCCTGCAATGCAGGAATCTTAACTAAATCATGCACGACAGCTGACCAACCTCTGCTTAAAAGACCTCCAAGGAAGGAGAGTCCACCACCTTCCAAAGGAGTCCGTTTCACTATCAAACAGCTTTTACTGTCAGAATGTTACTCCTGAGGTTTAGTTGGAATCTCCTTTCTTGCAACTTGAAGCCCTTGGTTCCGAGTCCTACCCTCCAGAGCAGGAGAAAACAAGCTTGCTCCATCCACCATGTGACAGCCCTCCAGATATTAGGTGGCTATCAAATATCCTCAGTCTCCGCTTTCCCAAGCTAAACATACCCAACTCCTTCAACCATTGCTCATAAGGATAGCTTCCCAGACTTGAGTGCAATACAGTGGTACCTCAGGCTAAGTACATAATTCGTACTGGAGGTCCATACTTAACCTGAAACTGTTCTTAACCTGAAGCACCACTTTAGCTAATAGGGCCTCCCGCTGCTGCCGTGCCGCCAGAGCACGATTTCTGTTCTCATCCTGAAGCAAAGTTCTTAACCCGAGGTAATATTTTGTGATTAGTAGAGTCTGTAACCTGAAGCGTATGTAACCTGAAGCGTATGTAACCTGAGGTACCACTGTAGCGCACTTTGCACCTGCAATTCCAGTAACTGGTATACAGGAGTGTATTGACCCCCACACTGACGGCAGAATATAGCTACCCTGGCTAGTAGCCACTGATAGCCTTATGCCCCATAAATTTATCACAACAACCCCCCCCCTTTTTTTAAAGGACCACAATATTTTAATTTGTGCGTGTTTGCTGATAATGACCTACATACACTTCTGGAAGCAACTTTATACTATGATAGGCATTCCATTATTATTGCTGTTGTTGTTGTTAATAGGCATTCCATTGTTGTTGTTGTTATGAAAATGGTAATTTCGACATTCATCTGGTCCTTGGCATCCTGCAAGCCCTAAAGCCTGAGGCTTTCTTTCTCAAGCGTTTCCTTCTAACTCTCCTGAATTGCTGGCCTTTGTTCGAGACGGCTCTTTACCAATACAAAAAAGGGGGGGAAAACCAATTTCCAAACACACAAAACAAACAAGCGCAAGGGGAACAGTTCGCGTCTCACTTCCTGGGGAGCCCTTGTTTCCCCCGCCCCCTCAAAAAAAGGGGGGTAGGAAAGGTTGGGGCAGACGTAATCTTCGGTGGGAAATTCCAGCGCCCATCCCCTCTTCCCCGCGGCTCCGTCCAGGATTTGCCCCCACTGCATTTCCCGCCCGCAGCCTCCCCTTGCTTGCTCGCCCTTCCTCGCCGCGAACGCAAAGCCTTGCACGGTTGCATCAGCAGCGACCGTCCCAAATTCCATAGTAAAACTCCTTGATCTCTGGGGGTTAGCCAGCAGCCACGTAACTTTACTGGAAGACACCCCAGACCAGCAGGCAACGCCACCCGCCCGCCCCTGCGTGCGAGCAAGCAAAGCAGCAACAGCGGCGGCGGCCGGCACAACTCAGCCGCAAAGCGCTCCTCCCACCGGGGAGGCATTCCTGGAAGGGGCGGGCCCGACGGAAGGGAAAGGGGACAGCGTGCGTCTCTCTCCAGCCCGGGGTGGCAGCGGCCTAGCAGCCGCTCAGGTGGACGAGACCAAGTCCCCGTGTCGGCTCTTAGCAGGGATCCCAGCAATACGGGCGGATTCCGAACGGATCCCTTCTCAAACGGTTTACGCCGCTCAGGACATTTCTGGCGGCGGCTGCAGTTCCGCAGCTCCGCGCCCACTTTGGCAAAGCGCAGCCATCAGGCGTGGATCGTGTGAGCTCGCCTTCGCAAGCGCCTACGACACGTGTATCGTTCGGTCTGCGTTTCTTTTAAGGTTCTTTGGGCCCGATCCTGTCTGTGCTCACTACTCAGAGGTAAGCCCTCCAGAGTTCATCGGGGCTGCTTCTCAGCAAGTGAACAGGGCTCTTGCAACCGAACGTATGTTTACTTGGAAGTGAGGCCCACTGAGTCCGATGGGGCTTCTGTAAAAGTCTAAACATGTCGATCTTGAAATAAGCTCCTCCCCGTCCCGCGTTTCCACGGGACTTCATAGACTTGCGCGATCTCATGTTATCCAAGTCCAGCATTTCCTCGTCGGTCTGTTGGCAAGTGAGGCTTGCAAATAAATAACCTCGGGTTTATTTAGGGGTCTACCACGGGCAGTTTAGGGAAACGGCGCGTCCAGCAGGTTCAGGAAAAAGCCTGGACGGCTATGGGGATCTTTCAGTTCCTTCCTAGAGGAGGCAGCGCTGCAATTCTAATAGTTGAATGCAATTAGGAGCTCGCTATTTAAAGTAGACCCGGCAAAGCGGGGGAATGCGTTATGAGATCGAGCGGCCGCTCTACGACAGAAGAGTCGGCTATTACTGCAAGTTGCATTTGGGGCAAAGAATAACAAGAATAAGCGGGCGAAGGGAGTACCGCGCGGGCGGGGCAAACCGACTCGGTACGAAGCTTCGGTCAAGTTGCGCGGCACCAGCGATTCTTTTTATCTCCGCCGCTGCTTCTACTACTCCCCGACACGCCAAACCTGACATGCCACCCAAGATCGGTAGCACGTACTTGGGAGGGAGCAAACGCCCTTTTGCAAACAATGCGTTCTGATGCAAATCTTCCCCACCCTGCCCTTACTTTGGGTCGCGGTGCTAATCGGCCCGTGTATTCTGCCACAAGAGCGCAAGCCGCCCACACTCGAGTTTTGCACAAGCAGCATTTAAGAAAATCCACCGGCGCCGTGAATAAAGTGTCGGCTTCTCCTCCCCCCCCCCCCGCACCATCAGCCGCCCCAGTATTATTATTGCTACTATTAGCGTTTCGATCCTGTTCCCCTTTAAGCGGAGCTCGGTCTGTTGCAGACGACCAGGGAATCCCTCTCCGAGCGCGTCACTCTAACCAAGGAAACCCGCGCTCGCGTAGTACAACGCAAATGACCATCTTTGGCAACGGCGACCTGCGACAATGGAACAGACTAAGCCTACGCGCTGGGAGGGGACGGGGGACGTGACACGAGGAGGCCGCGGCCGGGAAATGGAGCCCGCCAGGCGAACGGGCCGGGCTGCGCCTCCGCAGGGACGGGAAACGGGGCGAGGAGAGCGGGGAGCCGCCCGGGCTGGGTTTGGCTCGGCGGGGCTGAAAGGACAGCGCGCTCTGGCCCTGTTCTCCCTCCTCCGCCAAGTGGGAGGCTCCGCGGGGCGGGGCCAGAAGCCTGCGAGTTTGACGTTTGCGAATCCACATGGTACAGCTCTTCAGAGGCAGGGAGATGGAATAATAAGACTGTGGATTTGAACTAATGCCATTGCACTGACTCATTCAGGGAGAGTAAAGGAGCTCCGAGAACAAGGATACTAGAAAGAGAGAAAGAGGAGAGGGAGGGGGGGAAGGAGGGGAAAAAGAAAGATCGCTTTTATGGCCGAGAAGGGCAGCATCAAGGGTTAAGGGATCAATAATTCGGGGGAGTATTTTTAAGCAGCAACAACTAACGATCAGGAGCCTCCGATCCCGGGCTGAGTCATCCATCCAGTCCAGTTGGAGCAGGAAGCTGGCACTTTTCTGTAGGGCTTAATTATACAGGAGGTTTAGATGCTCCTGATTTAAAAACTACAGGGCGACCGCGGCTTTGAAAGCAGTAGGGAGATCTCCACAGGAAGTTGGAAGGAAGGCAAGCGAGATACATCAAGCTTTCTCTTCTGTAGAAATAAAAGTCGCATTTGGAAAACTATTTTTTTAATAAGTATATTGTTTTGATTCTCGCGTGAGAGGCAATGATTTGCCTCTAGAGCGCGTGCATTTTTTTCCCTTCTGCACTGTATGCGGAGGTGGTTTTTTGGATTTATTTTTTAATTCACACAGTTGCTGTCGCAAGAAACAAAAAATCAGGAAAGGACTTATTTTTCATTGCTTAAAATAGAGAAAAGGGAGGGGGGAGCAACACCCTGCCAGATCCACTTGAGTGCATTTGGAAAATCCGAAGGCAGTAAATAAAAGATCGGAAGCGAACAAGACAGGGAGGGACTGAGGAACAAAACAAACAAACAGCGTGCACATTTTTTTTAAAAAGAATTCAAAGTTTATTTTTCACCTCGGACAATGTACCAGGATTTCCCAGGGAACTTTGATACCTCCTCCCGGGGCAGCAGCGGTTCTCCAGGCCACCCGGAAACTTACAACAGCATCACAGCTCAACAGGTAGGGGCGAGGGGGGAGTGGTCCCTCTCTATGCTTTTCCCTCTTAAATCTCGAAATGCCTCTGATGGCATTTTACCTGAAAGAGGAGTTCAGGTGATCTCAGCAGGTTTCCTTTCGCTCTGCGTATACGGAGATCGTAGGTGATTTCGCGCAACCCAGGTCCCTGATACTAGTTGTTCTTCTCCCCCCCCCCGTGTCCTTTTCCCCCTTTCCAGCGAGCGCCGCCGCCGCCACCTTCCCGGCTCCTGGCTCCTTAACCAAACAGCAAAGTTCACTAACCACACCCCAGTCCACCTCCTGCGAGCGCGCTCCGACCTCTCCCTCAGTCGCAGATCAGGGCGAAGAAGGAGAGGCGGCGGCGCGTCGCCTTTGGCCTCCAGTCCAACAGCCGCCGAGACACCTTAAAAGGAGGCGGAAGCGGCTGCTTGGCGGCGGCGCTGCTGCTGTTGCGAGAGTTTGGGCGGGCGAGCGAGCGCAAAGCCGCGCCGGAGCTGGAAGTTTCGAGCTCGCCAGGGCGCCGGAGCCGAGAGGCAGCCTGGGCTGCGACGCGGGGCCGCCGAGGCGGCGATCGGGGCTACAAGTAAGCGCGGGTTTCTCTCGGGGGAAGAGATCGGAGCCGCTTTTGCAAGCCGGGGATGCCTTTTGCTGGAACTGTGCGCTTGGAAGGAAGGAAGACCCCGGCGCGCGCGCGGAACCATTGCGGGACTGAATTGGGGACCGGTCCATACGTGCGAGGGAAACGGGGATGGGAGTGGGAGGACGGAACCCACGGCCGCTCTTAAGATCCCGGTGAGGGTCTTCTCTCGGAATACTGGCTCTGGGTGTGCCTCTCCTTGGCCCAAAAGGGAGATGGCCTTTTGCCTAGTGGCAGTTCGGGGTAACTTGCAGAGGTGTCTGCCCGGGGTGTGTTTCCGAGCACGTCGGGAAGAGAGGTGAAGGGGGGCGTAGGGCAAGGGTGTGAGGAGTCGGAGTGCCCCAGACGCGCGCGTCTTCGCCGGCAGTGCTCTACGTGCGCACTGGCAGGAGAGCAGCGGGGTGGGGTGGCCACAATGTTTGTCTCAGTAGGAAATTGGGGGGGCACACAAAGGGGGAACCGTGAGTAGTTGCCGGAAGTGTGGGCCCGACGTATGCAGGCTGCAATCCTAGACCTCTTTACCTGGGAGGACACTCCATTAAAGTCAATGGGGCTGACTTGGGCTTTGCTGTGGGTTGTTAATGTGGACTGAAACTCCTGGTGGAGTGGAAACAGTCTAAAAAGGGGCATGTCGGTCTCAACATCGGTTGTGGCAGGCGTGGAAGAAAATCACAGTGTCAGGGCATGCTGGGGAAATAAGTCAGACACCCACCAACCCAAAAATAAAAAAGTTATGCTGCAATCCTCAAAAAAACCTTCCTTTTTACATTGCTGGAAAGCTTGAAGAAGTGATCAGCTTGTGAACAGCACTAGTTCAAATTGACTTTGTTTGGTTTTACTTCTGCCCCAAGACCTCAAGGAAATGTAGCGGCACAATTCACTTTGAAGGTGGTGGGTTTGGATTCCAGGAAGCCTTGTGGGGGATATTTATCTGTAGCCTACCCATTGGTTGATGTGATTAAGATCCAGTAGGCTTGGGAAAACAGAAAAGCTTTTGGTTATAGGGGGGTCCCGATCACTTCTTGAATATCACCTGAAAACATGGAGTGCCTTGCCCATGACAGCTGAATGAACTAAATGGTTTGTAATGGATTTTTGAGGGGGTTTCAGAAGTGAGAACCCCAGTGGAGAAGGGGTACGCCTTAGTAATAGCTCTTTCTTGGGCTTTGGTTATACAAGCAGGATGCTGGGATTATGTAAAGTGAGAGAAAGAGTGGCACATCCAATAACTTTCTGGGTAGATTTGCTTTTAACCTGTTGCTCTTTCACTTCCTCCAGCTCCTTATCTCCTTATTCGCAACATATACACATGTGTAGAGATGGCAAATGGAACATGAAAGGAATCTCTCCAATGTTCCTTGGTCACAGACCCGGATTTACATATTTATATGCATTCGTGAGAGACAAATGTATTGGCAAGCCAGCTGTTTGGACCCCATACCCTGAAATGGAGTTTTAATCATATTTTGTAGGCTTGGTGGCATTAAATTTAGAGACATCTTCCGAAGATTGGGCTGCTTGAGAAATGCAAAGAAACAGGTCTAGCCACCAAGACGGATTTAAATCCACTTTGATTCAGTTGAGTGGGTTTGTGAATTAAGCTACAGTAATTTTGAAAGACCCTCTGTAGAAAACAAGAAAACAAATCTGTATTTTTCATTTTAGATCCCTTTCCTGGGAAAGGGTCTAGAAAGATGTGGAAAATTGGTTTCTTTCCAAGTGCTGAAGTTGGGATAGGCTATACGAATTCGATATATTTGTCTAAATGTGCTTTTATTTACTCGTTCTGTTTGCAAAATGAGGGGCGGTTTTTAATTGTTTAAGCTGATTTCCCAGAAGACATTGAAAAATGTTTGGGGCAGCAACCAGGATCTTTGAGGAAGGTTCTGTAGGCCCATACCAAAAGGAACATTGTATTATCCCCCACTCCCCCATGGCTCCTCAGTTCCTTCAGAAAGATTTGACCCTTCTCCCCCTTTCACAAATAAGTATTCAGTTTTCTGAGATGAGTAAATGAAACGAGTAAATGAAAGTATGTTTCTCCACATTGACTAAAAGCATACAGTTCTACTTTATTCTCATTGTGATTTCTTTCTCTCTTTTAATAGTAGCAACTTTTTAAAAAGCAATATCTCTGGAGGCAAATACGTTTTTCCTGGGCTCTGCCAGTGTCCTAAGCTGGCAAGGCTGCTGAAATACTTTTCCCCTCTGTTTTTCGAGGTCCTCTTCTTTCTCTCTCTCTCCACCCTCCCAATAATCTTCAGGCTTAAACATGTCAGCATGTTAAAATAAACAAACAAATCATTTCAGGATTATGAAGAGGCATCAAGATTCTAGAGTAGAAAATACATAAACGACAGTTCTTACTACGCTAGTGTAGTCTCCACAGAAATCAGTAGACCTTCTTCCAAGAAACAAGTTAAGGACAAGGATGCAGTAGCTTGATGGATAACTTGAGTCCAGTAGAGTTTTCATTCAAATAATACTTTACACACAAATTGGATGGATTTCTGGAAATCAGGTTGTATAATACTGCTGTATTAGCAAAGGCCAATTAGTTGTTTCATTGTTAGTACAGCTGTATGTTTTCTACAGTCTCAACTATAAAAGTGGCCTTTATGACCTTTGGTAAGTTTGCCAGTTTGCTGAAATAACCACACTTCCATTGGATTTGAAACTACCATGTTAGAAACACACTCAAAATGGTGAAACTGCTATACATGGGTTAGAAGACTGTCCTTGACTGAGCACAACTTAACTATTGGTTAGTTTTGAGCACGCCACAATTAAAAGGATTGTATTTGCAGTGAATAATAAAATGTTATGCTATGTACCCGGTAAATCGTGCTGTGTTGTCCAGAAATTGTGACTGCCATTAGTTTACAGCTGCCATGTAAAACCAGTGGAAACTGTCAGGTAATTCTACTTTATAGAGACATAATCATTTACTGTTTGGAAGTAAAACAACAACAACAACAGCCCCACCCTTCTTTTCTCTCTCCAGCTTTTGTTCTAGCTTGAATTTCCTTTTCCTTGTCTCAAATTAAATGCCATTTCATGAGCTGTGCCAAACTGCAATTAATTCAGTGCTATGCTGCTGTCGAAGTGCTGGAACCATCTCCTAATACATTCACAGTAGCCTTCTAATGTAGCCATTTCCATTCAGTGTTTTTAATAGTGTCTGTTCTGGAAGGAGATGGAATGCATTTTCGTGTTGGCTCCATCTTCAAGCAAGCTAGGGAGTGATATTGTTGCTTTCCTTTGGTATTCAGACATTCCTTTGCTGCCTGAATGGACCTCGCTGGTATTTATTGTGGAATGGTTTTTGACCTTCAGAATGCAAGTTCTTACAGGGTCCATGCAATTTGGCTACATTTTTGGGATAGCTCTTTTGGTACAGCGTCTAGCCTGAAATGATGCTGGAACTTGAAGAATGAGAAATATTTCCTGTTGAAACTGAAATCTGTAAAATCAAGGGTCGTTGCGCTCTCTCTGTTTCCTTGTGGGGGCCCCTCCCTCTTTTCTCTTGATCGGTATTTTCTTAGGTCTTTTCGAAGATGTCTTATGTGACATCCTAGGCTAAACCTACAGCTTCTCTGAGAGGCGTTGCACAATCTCATCAGTTACACAAACATACGATATTTCGTAACATGTTTACATTGGCTGGCCTTGCCTCTCTTCCCCCCAGAATGCCTTTCTTACCACTTCTGTAATGTGTGTGAAACCTACTGGCAAAGTGAGGCGTAAGGTTTTTTTCACATCAGCTAGTTGTGGACCTTCTTTGTTTTTGGTTATGTGTGCTGTAAACTGTCCTATATAAAACTTTGCAAGTGGTGCCAGTCGGTGACATTCCGCACACATCAAAGACCTTATTTATTTATTTATTTACTTACGAGAAATGACTCTCTCAGTGTCCAGGTCGAAGCCAAAGACGCCTCTTGGGTGCCCTCTGTAGGCTGTTCCATGTAGACAGGTTTCCAGAGATGATACACAATGGAAAGAAATCATTTGCTCACTTACAGTAAATGTGGGGAATCTTGTTTGGGAAAATGGATAGAGTGAGTTTTCTTTTTAAGGCTTGTCTGTACTTTGCAGCCCAAATGGTCACTTTAACGAGACTGCCGATGAATGTGTGTTCATATTCTTAGCCCGCCACTTCCCAAGCTCAATATTCCAATCTCTCCTTCAGTGTTTAGCTCTCTCTGTAAAGCTGCATGTTGTTGTAAATTCTGCTCTTCAGAATTCACTGTATCTCTTGCCTCGCTTCTAAGATGAAGATGACACCGGTCAATTGCTTGATCAGTTCAACTGGCTGTGTGCTTATGGTTTGTACGTGCACTTAGAACACATTTCACTCTTTGTCCCG